CTGTGGTTTGGAGGTCCCTCCTTGGACAGCCTCCCCCGCATATAAACATTCCTGCCGCAAATCCTAGCGATCTCTAGGGCTGCTTTCCCTGCTCGTAAGGAACACCATTTCTCTCCCCCCTTTCCCGCAGGTCCAGGAGGGGGTCTCCCCACAGGCGGGCAGCGCCCCTTCGGGGTCGGCAGGGAGGAAGGTACAGCCCCTCTCTCCTCCCCTTCCCCGCACCCGCCAAAATGCGTCTGGCATCTGCCTTCACACGTGCAAAGGGGAAGGCAGGCAGGACACAAGACGGGAATGTCTAAAATAAGGACCACGGGTCTGTATTAATAAAACTAGCTTCCTTGTTTATAGGCGCAAGTCATTTCCTCTGTCAAAACTCTGGTCTCAGAATTAAAAGAAATTGTGGAAGAACAAACAAACCATGATTCAACCTCTTTTCATTTCAAAAGATTGCAAACACCTGATCGCTCCAGCCATGGCCATAATGTTTGTGAGTAGTCATGATGCTCTTATCGCTTTTAAAATTCATTACCTATGCCTTCACTTGGTGCTGGCCGTTTTTTGGGTCCCCCTCCTGTCTGCCCAACAGGACCTGCACCAAAATGACTTCTGTTCCAAGCATGTTTCCCCTCAGAAATGCACCGGTTGAGCTGCTTGGCTTGGAAACAATGGAGAAAACACCTGCCAGAGAAACAAAGGTTTGTTTTCCCTCACCAGCCAGCCAGGGAGCCCGTTCTCCATGCAAAACAGCTGCTCAGGGCCAGGCAAAAAAAAAAACAAGCCGGCCAATTTTTTCCTCTCATGTGTTGTGGGCAGATGCTTCAAACACCCACCGAGAGGCCTAACTCCCTCAAAGGATGAGGTTGTGAAGGGAAAAAGGGCCACATCCTGTGTGATTGTCCTGGCAGGTGCTTCTTCCAGCTTCTCCAGAAACTGTGATTCTGGTTTTGCTGCTTAAAAGCAAAAGAGTGACCCATTTCGCTTTCCAGAGTCAATTATATTTTTGTCAATACTTCCAGAACAGAGACTGTTTGTCTTCTGTTCTACATCCAAATTTCTGGGCAGAATTTTCTCACCCCAGTCCAACAACCATCCAGTGAAGTTGATCCGAATGAGACGCATAACCACTAGACAGTGTGTGACACAGCTGAAGGGAGACTTGAACCCAGATCTTTCCCTATCGGCACCTTATAGTCTGCTCCACACAGTTCCATTTACATCTGGGAGCATCACAGCAAACACCCAGCTTTTGTCCCTTGTGGTTCCCCAAGAAAACTTTGCCCATGCTCTACGGTGCCCTTTTGGCCACCAAAACAACATCTGAATCCAGCCATCAAAGTACTCAGTGGTGTAGTTTTGGTGCTTTTAAAAAGTTGGCTGCAACCAGTACAGCTTATTAAGTCACCATTTTGAAGAGGAACTTGCTAAATTTGAACATCAAGCCTTTGGTTGTGTTTCAAGGCAAAGCGAAAGATGGGGAGGGAAAGAGCTGCGGGCAAAGGAGAGATGGGGTGAAAGAAAAGGTGGAGGTGAGAGAAAAAGGTTTCCTTTCAGAAACTGTCCTGCTCCCCACCAACCCTGAATTTCTAACTATAAACTTATTTCTTCTTCTTCTTCTGATCCTCTACTGCTCCCTGCTGGAGAGTAGCAAGAAAGGTCAGGTGGTTTCCGAGAAATCAGACGACAGGCCACACAAGTATTTTCTCACACGCACATGGCCCAGGCGCACGGTGTTGTCATTGGCACACAGCCCCGAATTATTTAAATTGGTTTTAAGTCATATGACAGTCATGTGGGATTTGAATTATTGTGTGTGTTCCCTGGAGCAACTTTTAATATGTTTTTTTTTTAAGGAGCAGGCCTTGGCTTACTAGGTGGTAAGTGCTTGGCTAATACCAGCAACTGATGTTTGATGCTTAGCTAACAACACTTAGCTAACACCGACACTGGCACAGTCATCATTAGTATACCCCTTCCATCCTGTTTCTTGAATTCGGCTGGTCCTTCTGCAGCCTCTCCGATTTGGAGGTCCGACTGGCGTGTACTGCATTCTGGATGCAGAGGGTCTGCAAAAGTAAGACAGGCTGTGACTTGAATTACAGCAAAGTGATTCAGCTGGCCAGCGTAGTCACAGCCTGAATTAAGAGGATGTACATTAAACCCTCAAGTTCCTTTTCCCTTCTAATTAAGATGGCTTTGGATCCCAGAAACCAGTCGGGAAAGACTTAAAGAACAGTGGAGGTGGAATCGGCCCAAGTCCTTCTCCTTCTCCTCTTCCCCCGACAAGGGCCAGGTCTGCGCTCAGCAAGATGGGCCAAGAATGACTTCTGAGGCTCAGAGAAGGAACAGCAGATGGAAAACACAAGATTTTATTAAAATCCAATTATTCCATGTAATATATATATGTAGAATATGTAATGTACATATATAATATATATGTAGAAAAGGAATCTTACACTCATGACCATAAAAGCTAAGTGCATGTCACTAAGAAGGATTATGATTGCTTAAACATTTAAAATTCAGGTGAGGGACAAATTCCCATCCCCACCCCCACCCCCGATCATCATTGACAACTTTCTTCATTTTGCACATGAGAATTTAAATTCATGCACAATGAACCATGAGAAAAAGGTACTCTGGCACTTTCTGGATTCTTCTGAAATGTGGCTCCTTGAATAGCACAGCGAATTCACTGTTCCACTCAAAATGTTAGTAATGTAACTGCAAACAGGTGCATCATCTTAAGAGACATTTCCTCTTTCTCCTTTGCACAGGAAAGAAGGTATCTTTCAAGGTGGTGCCTTCTGTGACATGTATACAAATGATGGGAAAGTAACTTTTTTTTTCAAAGAGGAAGAAGCTGGTTAGGATGCTGCTTCACAGATGGCAAGAGCAGGCTTGCAGAGGCCACGTAGGAATCAGGCAACTCAACTGGACTCAAAGATTGACTATGGGTCGGTTCTGGTGGATGGCGGCGAGATGGCACCATCAGTGAAGCAGTCAGAGCTGGTTCGAGTTGGTGCATATCCACTGACAGCCAGCCATGCTGCGATGGAACAGAGGCTTGGATTCGAGTATTGGGTTCGGGGTGTGGTGGCGGTGTCATCCGTTGATCATGGGGTCGAGCTCTTGATTCCGAGGCCGATGGATCTTTGGATCCAGGGTGCTGTGTGTGGTGGAGCTTGTGATGTTTTGGTTCTCGTCGGTGCTGAGGAGGAGCGTCCAGAAAGACCAGACGGTCCGAGTAATAGCCTTGGGAGGTACCATGAGCTCATTGAGAAGTGACCGGCTCAGGAAGGACAGCCTGGGGCCCCCAGCTGGGAGAGACCCACTGCGTCCCCTGACATGTACTGGAAAGCTCACTGAGGTAATGCAAGTGATAGTGTAGATGTGCACAATTTATTGTTACTGTCCTTAGACCAATCACACGGGTGGGGGGAGAGACATTTCCAGTTTCTAAAATTCTAAATACCTTAGAAAAAACATTTGCCATTAAAAGGCTATTTAAAATATAATCTCTAGCTACCATATCATTTCAAAATTTCAGGTACTTTGTAAAAAAATTGGCATTTAAAACACAATTTAAAATCTAATATATCATTATCATGGAATTTCCAAGGCCTGAATATCGCCATAGAAAATCTGGCTGTTTGATAAATGATCTTGGAGTCTTTATCAAGAAACTCAAGTCTATTTTTTCTTTGATCAGTGGGGTGATGATCTCCTTACAAGCCACTCTTTGCCTACAGTCCTCAGCCCCTTAATACAGAGAAGTGGACAACCCAGATACACAATCTCTGCAATACATTAAAAACATAAAATTTAGACAAAAACAAACAAGTATAAAACAAAGAAGTATAGAAGTGATTCAAAACCCTCCATACCAAGACCAGAGTCAAGTACTGTATGAGGAAATTTCTGAAACTTAAGAATCGCCAGACAGAACCCAGCTACCTTGAATTTGTTTAGCAGGGAGAAGAGAAGGGACTCACAAGAGAATCACAATGTAGTAAGTAGAACTGAAAGAAACCATCTCCAGGGGGTGTGACGATCTTCTCTGAAGCCCTTATTTCCCCAGGCCTTCACAAGGTTCTCGCTCTTCTTCCTTCGCTGCCACCAGGTATTGCTGTCTCAATACCATTCACTCAAGGAGACGTGTACTTTTGAAACTTATTTGATCAGGGAGGTTAACATCTGATTAATATACAGTAGGTAAATCACAGGTTGCTAATCACTTGAATCTGAATCAGTTTTACTTTAACATTAAAGCTCTATCAACTCTCAGTTCACTCTTAAGTTTCACAGTCTCTCTCTACCAGAATCTCTCTCACTCACAGAATCACTCGAAAAACCCCCTCACTCCATACACCAGCCTTTATATCCAAACCCCTCCATCCTTGGCATCGCCTTCTGTCCACTCATTGGCTCCTTCTCCACTGCTCAGCTGTGACGGACAGGTGAGGGCAGGGCTGTTCGCTACAGGGGGTAGCTCTAGAAAGCTCTAGATGTTTCATAAGCGGCAACAAAAAGAACTGAGGAGTGACCGTTGGAGGCGGGAACAGGCCATGTGGGAGGGTGGGGCCTATAATGATATCCTGATTCTTCAGCTCTAGAAGGTTCTGAATATCACACATGTGCAGAAGGAAAACCCATTGTGGCGATCCCCCTTATTTCTCTGGGCTCCACAAAGGTAAACTCGCCCTCTTCTGCTGCCACCAGATATTATCTTAATACCACTACAATTCCCCCCCACACAGGAGCTGGTCATAGAACGTAGGAATCAGGGTTTTTTTAATTAAATATTCTTTTATTATTGCACAAATTATAAGAAGAATCAAATATAACTGTTGTATGTGTTCATGTACATTAAATCAGGTGTTCAATCACTTGTATTCAATACTATTGTAGGCTTTCAATCAATATTCTTCATGTTATGCTTATGTGTTCATTCCTGCTTGTTCAATATATTTTAATCTTTCAATTTCCTTTCTTAACCCCTTTTTATCTATTCCTCAACCCTAGCACTCTCTCCACATCTTCTTGTCCCTACTTCTCTCTATCCCTATCTTATTCCAACTGTCCTCTGTCTCTTCCAAAACCTCAACTATCATTCTGACTCCGCCCCCTCCTGCTCTGTCCTCTGATTGACAAGCAGGAATGACATCATCTTTTGGGTTCCACTATACCCATAGTGTGCATTCACGGAGACCATGATGAAGAACCTGGTCTTGCAATTGGGCTATAAGCTGTAGCTGCAGGTGTCTTGCATACAATGGATCCATCATCTCCCAGAGATCCAGTCCCTAAGAGTTGCTAAACTCTTCTTGTGTTCCTCGATTCAACAGCATTTTGGAATGGGAGAAGGGATCGGACTTCAAGAGTGACAGGACTTGATGCCCCACCTTGAGGCATTGGCCTCTCCCCCCCTCTTGCCCATAGATGATCAGCTCCTCCTCTACAACGCACCTCCTTTTGAGGATGCTAAACACTTGTGTTGCTTCCTGTGTGGAGAGAAAAGAAGAAGGACCAAGTCAGCATCTCCTTGAACTATGCCTGACATTGTGACACACACGTGTCTTGGGACCTGTTCAGTCTTCAGGAGGTCAGACCTTGGAGGCTGAGTTACAAGGACATTAATGTCCCCATTGGTCATTCTTGCCCTTAATGGGTGTCCCAAAGGTCTTTAGCAAAGGCTTGCCATCTGATGATGCCCTTGCACTGAAAAGTGGGGCTGGGGAATCAAAGACAGAAGGGAAAGATCCCTTTTCTCCTCTGGGGGATCTGAACCAGCCAATTACGCAGGGAAACCACCCTTTCTTTTCCCAAGGAGACTCTGTGAGATGGGGGGAGAGTTCCTGCCCTTTTTGGGTGGGATTCCCTCAAACATACCTCTACCGCAGCTGTTCAAACGTCTGTCATTTACTGGAAAAGAGGAAAAGATCAGGAATTTAACTTCCATGAATGAATGGAAGGGGAGGCGGGTTTTAATTAACACAAAGCTATTATTGCCACATCTAACTGCTTTAACTATAAAATCACCCACAGAGAGGAATGTTAAAAATGAACATCTAAATCTAGAAAAGACATGGATAGGAAGGTCAATGTTTTCTGGGGAGAAACAGAAAAAGCAATTTTTCAGCTGCCTTGTGGCGCATCTAATGTTGACAACCACCCTCTCTCAATCAGTTTACTGTACAATAAAACAACTCTCTCAGATCTGGCAGGCACCAGCAGTGTGCCTGTCTTCTGGAATTGCTCTCGCACAGTACCCCTTTTTCTCTGGAATCACTTTTCTTCATTTACTAGTTCTTACTGAAATCAAAATATAGTGCCGTAGAATGCCAGGTTGTTGGGAGGGGCTACCAAGTTTTTCCCAACTAATGCCACAACCCTGCGGCCTCTTCCATGCCCAAAATTGTTGCCCTTCAAATATGCTGGATTACAGCAATCACCACCCCCAGACCATGTGGCCAAGGATGATGGAAGTGGCAGTCAGCACCTTAGAACCGCACCATGCCAAATGAAGTTGCCGCAAGACATGGAAACTAGGAACTTGTGCCAAAGGAATTAAGAAAAAGTGGGTTAGGGGGTTGGACGGGAAGCAGGCAATAGGGAATTTGAGGGACATACAAGAGGTGCCACCAGGCAGATCTTCTGTGAGAGACGTCCAAGTCAATGAGGCAGCTGGACTCCTGCTCTTCTGGCTGCCAGGGAGCCAAGGCAACCAAGGTCCCAGCAAACTTTCCATGAATGCGGTTTCCTCCCACATGAGAGGAGGGGACTGCTCTTTTCATTCCCACGTTCCCCCCCCCAGCCTTTCTTTAATTTATAAACAGCAGTTTCACTATAAGATGTGAAGCAAACTGAAACTGAAACCTCCCTCACACATCACGGGAGGAATAACTGACCTAAACGCACAAAGAAGAAAGATCTACTCACTTAATGCTGTTCTGTAGCCATCTTGCAATTTCCCTGCAGAGACAGAATCAGAGAGTTAGCGCTGAAGGCTGTTCCCAGAGATCATCCAAACCCACCCCCTGGAGGCAGGAAAGGTGGTTTCATGGGCTCCCATAGAACCCTATTGCCACTGGCCCCCCCTTCTAGGACAATTGTCAACAACCATGGCTGTCTCAGATGTTGCTTAACAACTTCCATGATCCTTTGCAACTTTTCACAGTAGCCAGGCCTGATGGGAGTTGTAGTCCAGCAACATCTTCAGAGCCACAGTTGCCTTCCGCTGCCTGAGAACAACCCCGACATGCAACTCAGGTCAGCACGGAAATCATAGAATCATGAATTTGGAAGGGGCCTCTAAGGCCATCGAGTCCAACCCCCTGATCAGTGTCGGGATACAAATCATAGGATATCTGCCAGGTGGCTGTCTAGGTTTCTCTTGAATGCCTCCAGTGTTGAAGCACTCACCACCTCTTGAGGTCACTGGTTCCACTGTTGCACTGCTTTAACAATAAGAATCTTTCTTTACTGTTCAGCTTTCAGACTGGGAGTACAGTACTATTCATCATTTTGTCTTCTTAATCACAGAATAATGTAATTGAAAGGGGCCATCAAACCCAACCCCCAGCTTGATGCAGGAATACAAATCAAAGGACAACTGCCAGGTGGTTGTATAAGTTTAGCACCTCCAGTGTTGAAGCACTCACCTCCTCTTTGAGTAACTGGTTCCATTGTCATACTGCTTTAACAGTAAGATGTTTTTCATGACATTCAGCCTAAATTTGGCTTTCTGAAACTTGAGCCCATTATTATGTATCCTGCACTCTGGGTGGATTGAAAACAGATCCTGCCCCCCCGTTG